CGGAGAGGACCAGCCGGCTCCCGTCCCGCCGCCGCTCACCTGCGGGCAGGCAGAGAGAGAGCAGCGCCAGGGGGCTCAGGGCCCGCAGCCGGCCCATGGCACCGAGCGCGGGCGGCGGCGGCAGGGGGGGCCGCGCCAATTGGGTGCAGCCGTGTCCAGGTCCCTCCGGCTCCTCCTCTCCATCCTGTCGCTGCGCCGCCAGCGGATCGGGCAGGGGCACAGACGGGATCCGGGCCTCACACACAACCCAGAAATCACACCCACACCCATTGGCACCTACACAAACTCAGGCACATGCACCCCAAATCACGTGCCTGATGCGCGCGCGCACACACACACGCGCGCGCTGGTTGCTTATTCCCAGTTCCTTATTCCCGGTTCCCTATTCCTTATTCCCAGTTATTTATTCCTTATTCCCGGTTCCCAGTTCCTTCTTCAAAGCTAATCTAGACCCAATAAAAAACATGTTATTAATGAATTGCACATCCTAAAGAGAGAGAATGTCATTAGCTACGTATATGTACTAATTAATATGTAAAATAATATCCCACATCAAGTACAGAGCCCTAAATGAAGGTTAGATTAGGATGGGTTTATGGGGCAAAATACTTCTTGGGTCATCCCAAATTTCCTGTCCATGCCACTGGGGGACTGTCCCAAAGAACCCTGACCACAGTCCTGCCTGGCCCAAAGCACGGGTTGGCTGTGCCAGGCTGCCAACTAACAGCCCCCATGCCCACTATATAATGGCTTGAATAAGGAACTGGCTATCAGGCTGGAATTATGGCAAGAAATTCTGCTTGGGCCACCCATCAGAATATCTCTGCGCCACCGGGGGACTCTACCAGATACATCTCATCAGAGTCTTGCCTGGCCCAAAACACAGATTGGCTGTGCCAGGCTGCCAACTGATACTACCCTTGCTACTGTGCTAAGTAACTGGACCTGAATAAGGAACTGGAATTTGGGCTGGGACTATACCTAGAAATCTTTCTTGGGCCACCCCACGCCGTACCTCTGTGGCACTGGGGGACTCTCCTGCACATCGCTGGGGACAGACTTGCCCGGCCCAAAGCACAGTTTAGACGTGTCAGGCTGCCGACTGACAGCCCTGCGGCCACTTTGCTAAATATCTGGACCCAAATAAGGAACTGGAATTTGGGCTGGGATTATACCCAGAAATCCTTCTTGGGCCAACCCAGACCACATCTCTGTGCCACTGAGGGATGTTCCGTGATATCTCTGACCAGAGACTTGAGTGGCCCAAAGCATGGTTGGGCCATGCCAGGCTGCCAACGAACAGCACAGACACTGTGCAAAGTATATGGGCCAGAATAAGGAACTGGATTTGGGGCTGGATTTTGGGCTACAAATCCTTCTTGGGCCACCCCAGAACACATCTCTATGCCACCAGGGGATACTCCTGGACATCTCTGACCAGAAACTTGCCCGGCCTAAAGCGCGGTTTGGCCATACCAGTCTTCCAACAGACAGCATCCCAGACACTGCAAAGTACATAGACCCAAATAAGGAACTAGATCTTGGGCTGGATTTTGGGCTACAAATACTTCTTGGGCCACCCCAGAATACATCTCTGTGCTACCGGGGGACACTCCTGGACATCTCTGATGAGAGACTTGCCTGTCTCTAGATCATCCCAAAGTGCCTTTTGGCCGTGCTAGGCTGCCAATTGACAGCACCCCAGCCACTGTGCTAAGTATATGGTCTTGAATAAGGAACTGGTTTGTGGGCTGGGATTAGAGATGGAAATGCTTCCTGGGCCACCCCACACCATGACTCTGGTGCACCAGGCCACTCTCCTGGACACCTCTAACCAGAATCTTGGCCGGCCCAAAGCCAGGCTACCAACTGAGAGCCCCCATTCCCACTGTATGCATTGGTTTGAATAAGAAATTGGCTTTTGGACTGGGATTGTACTTAGAAATCCATTTTTGGCCACTCCGTGATTTATCTCTGTGCCACCAGGGAACTCTCCTGGACATTTCTGATCAGCCACTTGCCCGGCCCAAAGCACAGTTTGGCCCTGCCAGGGTGCTGACTGACAGCACCCCAGCCACTGTGCTAAATATGTGGACCCGAATAAGGAACAGGCTTTTGGGCCAGGATTACAGCTAGAAATCCTTCTTGGGCCACCCCATGACATACCTCTGTGCCACCAGAGAACTCTCATGGACATCTTTGGCCACAGACTTGCCTGGCCCAAAATACAGTTTTGCCGTGCCCGGCTGCTATCTGACAGCACCCCAGCCACTGTTTGAAGTATAACGGCTTTGATAAAGAACAGTTTTTTTTG